TTTAGTTTAATTTAAAGTCAATTGTAATTGTCCCATTTTGTCAAAAATACTTACAGTATTGAAATGTGAGAGTTATGGGTAATCTTTTACATGTTGGTGTTCCTGATGTTGAAAAAGACGTGCAACAAAGTAGAAAAAGAAAATTTATAGAAGGAGAAGAAGAAATTCAAGAAAAATTTTCACCATCACGGTCTGTAAAACTATTATTATTATTATTATTATTATTATTATTATTATTATTATTATTATTATTATTATTTACATGTTTTTCAATGCGTAGCCTTATTCAAGGTGTCTGTTTTGGATTTGAGGTTTGAAAGATTTTCAATTAAAATTAATTTAAAAAAATGGTCAGCCTTGAGGATATTTTTTATTTTACTTTTTATAATAAAATTTTTAAAATTATAACTTTTTCCTCCGGAACCTTTAGGAGGTAAATTTAACATTTGCAATTTCCATTTGTAACTTATTTAAAAAAAAAAAAAAAAATCCCGCAACTTTTTAATAACCTTTATTAATTGTTAAATAACAGTAACAGAATTTTTTTTATTATTAATGTAGAAAAAGTGCCATTTTCTATAAACCATGGATGCGGAGTCCCAAAAAGGACCCCGGATTTGAAAGTCTCAAAAAAATTACTTCTTCATAGTTTTTGGTATCCAGGAGCTCTAAAAATATAAAAAGGTTTATGGACTACTAATAAGAAAAAAATTAAGACTTTTAGGTAAGAGGAACAATCATTTTTTGAACCCAGAGTCCTTAGGTATAATGGCGGCAAGGACTCCGGACTCCAGGCTTAAAAACAATAAGTTCCAAGTCATTAAACCACATTAATTTTTTTCTTATAGCAGATCATAAGTCAAAAAATATGTTTAGAGCGTTTAAACACTACAGACCTGGAAAAAATAGAGATAAAAACCCGTAGTCCTTTTGGGACTCTGCATTCCTGCTATAAACTATAATTTTAAATACAGAACAGTCTATTACAACAACTACATTTGCAATGTTTTTTTGGACTTTTCTAGAAAAGAAAGAGGATCATTAGAAGAACCAGCCCAAATGTGATAACAGTATTCCATACAGGGATGAAAAAGAGATTTTTAGAAGTACAAAATGGAATCAGGAGTAAGAAAATGGCAAGCATGATAAAGAGAGGCAATCTTAGCAAATGTTAACTTAGCAATTGATTGTAAATATGGTTTCAATTAAAAACCTGTAATGAGATAATTCAAGAATGTGTAAAGAAGAGGACTCAGTGAGAGGTTACCATTTATTAATATAAGAATGTCAACGGTATTGTGATAACTGTTTGCAGTAAATAATTGAGTTTCTTTGGAGTTAAAATTTTCAAGTCACTGTGAGCCCCAATCTATTACAGAAGTGAGATCAGATACAAGACTGGCTGCCTCTTATAAGCTCTCAAAAAGAAAATACATTTTGTCAAGACAGTAGTAGATAAATTTCTTTTTTTTTTAATTTAGATGCCCAAGAAGTCCTTACGGTCTTATTACAGAGCACAGCGGAAGATCACTTGAAAGGAAGTTCACTTCTCTTTCCTCACCAATGCAATAAAACTTGCCCAGAGGTGGCGTTGTACCACGGACCTCTAGCTCCTGAGGCAAGCGCGCTAACCAGTGCACTATGGCTGCTCCAATAATCTCAAAAACTTTCCCAGACCCCTATATATATATATATATATATATATATATATATATATATATATATATATATATATATATATATATATATATATATATATATATATATATATATATATATATATATCTTCTATAGCATAATTAGATAAGCATTTGCTCACTAGTTTTGCTTATCTGTATAGCATATGGTGTTTTCAGAAAAAGACATATTATATATATATATAATATATATATATATATATATATATATATATATATATATATATATATATATATATATATATATATTATATATATACATATCTTCTATAGCATAATTAGATAAGCATTTGCTCACTAGTTTTGCTTATCTTTATAGCATATGGTGTTTTCAGAAAAAGACATTTTTATATATATATATATATATATATATAATATATATAAAATGTCTTTATATATATATATATATATATATATATATATATATATATATATATATATATATATATATATATATATATACATATCTTCTATAGCATAATTAGATAAGCATTTGCTCACTAGTTTTGCTTATCTTTATAGCATATGGTGTTTTCAGAAAAAGACATTTTATATATATATATATATATATATAAAATATATATAAAATGTCTTTATATATATATATATATATATATATATATATATATATATATATATATATATATATATATATATATTATATATATATATATATATATATATATATATATATCTTCTATAGTATAACTAGATAAGCATTTGCTCACTAGTTATGCTATAGAAGGTATATATTATATATCTAATTATGCTATAGAAGATATATATATATGCATATATATATATATATATATATATATATATATATATATATATATATATATATATATATATTATGCTATAGAAGGTATATATTATATATCTAATTATGCTATAGAAGATATATATATATATATATGCATATATATATATATATATATATATATATATATATATATATATATATATATATATATATATATCTTCTATAGCATAACTAGATAAGCATTTGCTCACTAGCTATGCTATAGAAGATATATATTATATATCTAATTATGCTATAGAAGATATATATATATATATATGCATATATATATATATATATATATATATATCTTCTATAGCATAATTAGATAAAACTCGAAACCGATTGGTTTAAGGCCATTAAAGATAAACACCTTTATAAATTTTTGGTTTTTGATATTATTGACTTCTACCCTTCTATCAGTAAAACACTTCTAAAAAACTCTATCAATTTTGCGGAGCAACACCTAACATTAAATAAAGAGAACATATCATTAATTTTTCATGCAAGAAAGTCTTTACTTTTTAATAATAATCAAGTTTTGATAAAGCAGTCAAGTAGTTTGTTTGATGTTTCCATGGGAGCATTCGATGGCGCAGAGGTTTGTGAGTTAGTAGGAATATTTCTTCTTTTTTAAATTTCAAAGCTTTATAACAAGTTTGAGGTTGGTTTATACCATGATGATGGCTTGGCAGTTTTTAGTAATAAAAGCGACCCTCAAATGGAAAAAATAAAAAAGTATATTGTCGAAGTATTTAAGTGCAATGGTTATAATTATAGTTGACAATTTTCATGGTGCAATGCAACATAAAAATTGTCAACTACCTCGACGTAACTCTAAATCTTAGTGAATGCATTTTTAAACCTTATTTCAAACCTGATAATACATTAAATTACATCCATGCTGGTTCAAATCACCCGCCAAGTATACTAAAACACATACCACATTCGGGTGAACTTAGATTGTCTACAAACTCTTTTAACAAAGAAATATTTTAAAATACTATTCCTCTATATAATGAAGCTTTATTAAAGTCTTGTTATAAGTGTAGCCTAACATATAATCCTAAAGCAATATCAACTCCAAAACAGAACTGAGCCCTATACATCATTTGATTTAACCCTCCATTTAGCAAAAATGTTAGCACCGTGGGAAAATGGTTTTTGAAATTAATAAACATTTTCCTAATAATAACAAACTGCATAAAAAATTTAACAGGAACACAGTCAAAGTTAGCTACAGTTGTATGCCAAGTATAAAATCTATTATAAATTCACACAACAAATACATTTTATGCAACGATACAAACACGAATCAACAAAGCTGTAACTGCTATAATAAAAATCTCTGTTCGTTGTTCAATAAATGTTTAACAAGCGACATTGTATATCAAGCAACTGTAGCCACTGCTAATTGTGATTTATCTCCTAATGAAAAATCCTATATATGTGTAAGTGAGACTCCTTTTAAATTAAGATACGCTGATCACGTGAAATCGTTTAACCATCTATAAATACAAAAATGATACTGAGCTCTTAAAGCATGTATGGAAGCTAAAAGAAGATAATTTAGTTCCTAAAGTTAAGTGGAAAATTCTCAGGCGATGTAAAGCATATAATCCAACATCCAAATCTTGTAAATTATGTCTCACTGAAAAGAATGAAATTCTAAATTATAAAAACAAATATTCTATTGAATAAAAGGAGTGAGATTGTTTCTAAGTGCAGACATAGAAACAGATTCCTTCTTTCCCAATTTTACACTAGCGATTAAAAAAGATGTTTTTCCATATTACTATTATAATTATTGTTATTATTATTATTATTATTATTATTATTATTATTATTATTATTATCATCATTATTATTGTTTGACATCAGAACTCATTCCATTGTTGTTTTTTTTAACTTTGTAACGGTTTTTTCTTGATTTAATAAAAAGGCTGATGAGTGCCGAAAATGGCATGAAACTTTAAGTACCGTTAAAAAGTTGTTGTTTTTTATCTAACCTTTTATTTATTTATTGATTATTTTTGTAATTATTTCACTTTATATTGATCACTCTCATATCGGAAAAGAGTTGATTATTATCACATAATCAAAACAACACATTGTTATATATATATAACAATGTGTTGAACAACACATATATATATATATATATATATATATATATATATATATATATATATATATATATATATATATATATATATACATATATATATATATCAACCCTCAATATATATATATCAACCCTCGAATTAAGGTCGGCAATGCCGACCTTAATTCCGAGGGTTGATATATATATATTTTAACAATTTTGAAAAGTATTCTACAATATAGAGTGCTCAATGTTCCTTAAAGAACAGAGCAATTATAAAGTAGTAGAAAATCACTTAGCAAAAATTTTTTTCATTAAACACTTTGTATCATCAATAAAGACTTGTCAGAAATCTTTCTGATGAGTTCTTTATTGATGAAACACATTGTTAAATGAA